TCAAAACCACAGACGCCACCTCACATTTGTCAAAATGGCTGCTATGAAAAAGAAAAGAAATACCAAGTATTGGTGAGGAAGTGGAGAAAAATGGAGCCCTTGTGCACTATGGGAGGGAATGTAAATGGGTGCAGCCACTGTGGAAAACAGTATGGGTGTTTCTCAAAAAATCAAAAATAGAGCTACCATAACATCTAGCAATTCCACTTCTGGGGATCTATCCAAAGAAAACGAAAACATTACTTCAAAAACATACATGCATCCTTATGTTCATTGAAGCATTATTTATAATAGCTAAGTGTCCATTGATAGATGAACTGATACAGGTGTGATATATTTGTACAATTGGATATTACTCAGCCATAAAAAAAAAAAATTCAATTTTGCCATCTGTGACAACATGGATGGACCTAGAGGCTATTATGCTAAATGAACTAAGTCAGAGAAAGACAAATACCGTGTGATTTCAGTTTTTTATTTTGAGGGAGCGCACACATGCGTGTGCAAGTGGGAGAGGGGAGGAGAGAGAGACACACACACACAGGGACCGAGAGAGAGAAAGCGAGAATACCAAGCAGGATCTGCACTGTCAGCACGGAGCCCGACTTGGGGCTCAATCACAAACTGGGAGATCATGACCCGAGCCGAAATCAACAGTTGGATGTTTCACCAACTGAGCCAACCAGGCACCCTTGTATCATTTCACTTACATGTGGGATCTAAAAAACAAACCAGGGACATCTAGCTGGCTCAGTCAGTGGAGCACGGGACACTTGATCTTGCTTGGGTTGTGGGTTCAAGCCCACATTAGGTGTAGAGATGACTTAAAAATAATTAAATAAACTTGAAAAATTAAAAAACAAAACAAATGAACAAACAAAACAGAACAGAAAGAAATTGATAGATACAGAGAAAAATCTGGTGGTTGCCGGAGGGATGGGTCAGAGAGTGGGCAAAATAGGAGAAGGGGACCACAAGGTACAGACTTCTAGTTATAAAACAAGACACAGGGATACAATGTACAATCGGGAATATAGTTAAAAATATGTAACAACTCTGTGGTAACACTAACACATAGTAGATATATTGTGGTGATCGCTTTGCAATGTATACACATTTTGAATCATTATATCATATACCTGAAACCAACATAATGTTGTGTGTCAAACTGAGCTTTAGAAAAAAGTGCTGGAGGCACCCTTGTTGGCTCAGCCAGTTGAGCTCAGGTCATGATCTCTCCGTTTGTGGGTTTAAGCCCTGCATCAGGCTCTATGCTGACAGCTTAGAGCCTGGAGCTTGTTTCAGATTCTGTGTCTCCCTCTCTCTCTGCCCATCCCCCGCTCATGCTCTGTCTCTCTCAAAAATAAATAAACATTAAAAATTTTTTTTTAAATTAAAAATAGGGGCGCCTGGGTGACTCAGTCGGTTGAGCGTCCGCCTTTGGCTCAGGTCATGATCTCGCAGTCTGTGAGTTCGAGCCCTGCATCGGGCTCTGTGCTGACAGCTGGGAGCCTGGAGCCTGCTTCGGATTCTGTGTCTCCCTCTCTCTCTCTGCCCCTCCCCCACTCATGCTCTCTCTCTGTCTCAGAAATAAATAAACATTAAAAATTTTTTTTAATTAAAAATAAAAAAAAGTTCTGGAGATGGATGGTGGTGATGGTTCCACAATATGAATGCACTTAATACCAACAAATGCTACACTTAAAAAGGATAGGATAGTAAATGTTGTTTCCAAAAAAATTGGAAAAAATAATTAACAAAATTAACAACAACAACAACAAAGGCTTTGACGTAAAACCACCTGGGTTCAGACCTCTGCCTGTGATCATGGGTTCAGCTACTTAATCTCTGTATGCCTCAGCTTCTTTTTTCTTTTCTTTTTTTTTAAAGATTTTATTTAAAATATGTTTTTTCACGTTTATTTATTTTTGAGACAGAGAGAGACAGAGCATGAATGGGGGAGGGTCAGAGAGAGGGAGACACAGAATCTGAAACAGGCTCCAGGCTCTGAGCTGTCAGCCCAGAGCCCGACGCGGGGCTCAAACTCATGGACCGCGAGATCATGACCTGAGCTGAAGTCGGACGCTCAACCGACTGAGCCACCCAGCGCCCCTAAAGATTTTATTTTTAAGTAATCTCTGCACTCAATGTGGGGCTTGAACTCACAACCCCAAGATCAAGCGTTGCATGCTTCACTGACTGAGCCAGCCAGGCGTCCCTCCTCAGTTTCATCAGCTGCAAAATAAGCACAAAATGGCCCCTACTTAGCAGTTTGACTCATAAGACCAAACAATATACATCAGCTGTGATTATTTTTGACAATTTTGTTTTAATGATAATACTTTCATTCTTATCGCAATTTATCCTTTCATGTTGGTTTATTTACTTGCTTATTGTCTGTCTCTCCCAGTAACGTAGGGGACTTCCATGGGTTCCTCCACGAATATATTTAAAAATATAGGGGCGCCTGGGTGGCTCAGTCGGTTGAGCGTCCGACTTCAGCTCAGGTCACGATCTCACGGTTTGTGAGTTCGAGCCCCGCGTCAGGCTCTGGGATGATGGCTCAGAGCCTGGAGCCTGCTTCCGATTCTGTGTCTCCCTCTCTCTCTGCCCCTCCCCCATTCATGCTCTGTCTCTCTCTGTCTCAAAAATAAATAAACATTAAAAAAAAAAATTTTTAAAAATATATTACCAGGGGCACCTGGATGGCTCAATCAGTTAAGCGACTGACTCTCAATTTTGGCTCAGGTCACGATCTCACGGTTGTGAGATTGAATCCTGTGTCAGGCTCTGCACTGGCAGAACCTACTTGGAATTCTCTCTCTCTTCCTCTTCCTCTGCCCTTCCCCACTTGTATGTGCACACGTGCATGCATGCTCTCTTTCTCGACATAAATAAACATTTAAATAAAATAAATAAAAATATATTACTATACATATTACATGGTTTGGCATATAGTAGGCACTCACTAAATATTTGCTGACTGCATGCTCTCTCAGTTGGCAAATTCCCAATGTGTTCACTTATTCAACACATATTTAGCAAGTCTCTACTGTATGCCAATCTCTGTATTAGATAATAAAGCTGTGAACAAAACAGAGCAGTATCTGTTGTCTTTGAGCTAGGAGACTCAGGGTGGAGTAGTTCTATGTTTTAACCTGTTCTAACATGATCGAGCAGTTCCAAACCAATCCGGGCATCAGAAGCCCTAGAAAGTTTTAGAAAAAGTCTGAAGTGGGGTCTGAGGCCAGCCCTGGAACCTGCATTTTTAAAAGGAAGGAGTTAGTAGCCAGCTCAGTGTTTCTAACATTGAGCTCTATAGAGTACTTTGGTGGGTGGTAGGATTAGTCACAAACTCTATGGCAATTTTTATGCTTGGGTTTTTAATGACAAGATCACATATATTATATTATATTATATTATATTATATTATATTATATTATATTATATTAATTACATGCTTATTTATTTTTGAGAAGGAGCAAGCAGGGGAGGGGCAGAGAGAGAGGGAGAGAGAGAGAATCCCAAGCAGGTTCAGCACTGTCAGTGCAGAGCGCGATGGGGGGGGCTCGAACTCATAAACCGCGAGATCCTGACCTGAGCCGAAATCAAGTCAGTGACTTAACTGAGCCATCCACGTGCTCTTTAATGACAGTATTTTACGATTTCTTTTACCAGTTGCAATTGCCAAATTTCTCTTACACAGTGACATTTCCATGTTTCCTACCTGAAAGACTTGAGGGTTTTTTTTTTTAACCTTTTAATGTTTACTTACTTATTTTGAGAGAGAGAGAGGGAGAGCAAACGGGGGAGGAGCAGAGAGAGAGGGAGAACAAGAATCCCCATCAGACTCTCCACCGTCAGTGCAGTCACCGACATGGGGCTCAAACCCACAAACTGCAAGATCATGCTCTGAGTCGAAATCAAGAGTCAGATGCTTAACCGACTGCACCACCCAGGCGCCCCAAGACTTGAGTTTCTTAAATCGGTGTTTCTCATGCTGGGATTCGGTGAGTGTATCCCCAGGGGTTTCTGCATTATTCAAGTTTGAGGAACACAGATCCAGTGCCTTCTGAGGCTGACCCAAATCTCCTCAGTAGCACCTTGCCCTCCCTACTTGAGAGGGGACTTGGGTTCTGACCCAGACCTATGTCCTAAGAGGTGTCCCAGAAGGCCCGCTTTATTCCAGAGTGGTGGGCTGGCAGCTTAAGACTCCTCCAGTCTCAGGTACAAGGGGTGTAGACTGAAACCCTTGGGCTCTGGCATTTCCTTAGACCACGCATGAGTTCATGAAGATTCTCACCTATACACCAGGTTGCTCCCTTGGAAGGGGTACTTTGCTGGACCCCGCCGCCTGGTGACAGTGATACCGTAAAGTATTGGAGCTTGTGAATCATATATGCCTATTCTGTCTTGCTTCCCCCACCTTCACCCTGCCCCTCAGATGTGTGGCCTTGAGAAAATATACTCATACGACTCTGCACCTCAGTTTTCCTCATCTGATAAATGGAGCTGTAGGAACAAGTCACACAGCGGTTGCTTCCGTTAAGGGACACCTCGACTGCCCGATCAAGGCACGTTGTTTCCCTTCTTCAGTTGACATCCAAGAGTACTTCCATTCACCACTGCCCTCCCTTGCTCTCATCAGGCCTCCGGGGGTCCAAATGAGGTAATTCCAGGCCAGGGGTCTATCAGTCCCAAGCCTCTGGGAAAACTGCCCAGTTGCCCCTAGGCAGTGCCAGAGAGGGTGGGTGCAGCTCTGAGGTCGGTGCCAGGGACCCAAAGAAGGCGGGCGCAGAAGCGCGACCCTTCTTGACTCCAGCTTCACACCCGCAGGCGGCGTTCTAACCCCTGGAGAACCTCTGCCCAGGACCGCAACCCTTCCCAACATGGCCGCACCATCAGGCCGCCTCGCGCGGGGCCGCCGCGCTTACGTATGTGCGAGCGCCTCCTCCGCGCCGGCCCCCGGCGCATGCGCATTCCGCGCTGTCTTCTCCCGGCCAGAGCAGCAGCGGCGGCGGCGGCGGCGTTTGAGTGGAGGAAGATGGCGGCTCCGGGCGGTTCGGGGTCCCGCCAGCTGTGAGGCGCTTGAGTGCGGCAAGCGCGGCCTGAGGCGAAGCGCCTCTGCTCTGGCCCTGTCCCCGGCTCCCTCATCGCCGTCGCCAGCGGCGCGAACCCGAGAGCGTGGCGCGGGCTGGGCCAGGTGAGGCCTCTCCCCCTCCTGGGGCCGCGGCGGGGAGCCGGCGCCTTCTGCCCTTTATGCCCCAGGCCCGCAGGGGGCAGGGGGCGTCCCGGGTCCCGCGCTGGACGCGCATCCTGCGCGGGGGTCGGTGCTGGCTGGCCTGGGGGCCTTGCTGTCGTCATCCTCGGCCTCCCTGGGTTGGGCAGGGAGGAGGAGTGCCCCTTTCCACCCGGCCCCTCTCCTCAAGCAGGGCGGTACACGTCCCCTCGCCGGGGCCACGAAAGGGGATCTGACCGGAGCAAGGATGGCTGTAAGGGTGTCAGGTAATCTTTCGCCCAGCCCCGGAATCCCGTAACGCCTTGCGCCGAGGAGCCGGAGCCCGGTGCCTTCCAAAATTGGGGCTGCGGCGAGGGGGCCAGCGTCTTTGAAGCTGAAGCTGCAAAGGAAAGATTTTAGAACTGGCTTTGAAAAATTAGACGCAAGCAGCCGGTCTCACCGCCTAGCTTTTCGAGGGTTCCTCCGGCGAAGTGGGAACCGCGGGTCTCCTTGCTTGAGACAGCCATCCACGTTGTGACTGAGAATTGTGCAAAGGGGACGGTGCAGGGTGGGAACGGGTCTGTAAGCGGAGAACAGCCCGTTCTGAGATCTTCGTGGTCTCTGCAGGCTCACTTAGGTGCTAGTGAAGCCTTCGTTTGTTTGAAACCTTTGTATTTTTGGGATTTGGCGTAGCCGGTTGCCTTTTGTCTGTTAAATCTCCCCGAATTTTATTAGGAAAATAAAAGCTGCTTTTCTTAATTGCCGAAGTCTTCGGAGTTTCGATGGTGGGATTCTGATTGCTCGGGGTGAAGATTCAGACACCTTACCAGTTCGCGCTTGCTGGCAGGGGCCTTGTGCTATGCCTGTTATTCCTTTCTGAGAGTAAGTTTTTGTTGTTGTGCAATTGCTAATTTGGAGATTCTGATTTCGTTTATCTCACGCTGGGAAGCCGGTTTGAAGCCTTGTGGTCTCTTCCTTGAAGGATGATGGAATCAGTTGGAATTGTGCTATATGGGCGTTTGTTGAGGCGATGGCTTTGGGCTTGGACACACCGACTACCTTTGTAACTTAAATTTGCTTTGCTTATGTTTAAAATGATGACATCATAGGTAAAGGGAGAAGGAAATTAGAGGGGGAAATGCCCCATTTAGAACTGAACATTTACCATGCATCCTGAAAAAAAAAACAAATAAAATGCATCCTGTAGCTTTTACAGCGAGTAGTGACTCTCTGTGTCAGATTCCTAACTTTGTGCATATTCATGTGTCTAATCTGATTGGGTGTCCTTTGTATTGTGTGTTGTCATTTTATACCCTGTAAACTGTTTGCTTTTGACAAACCCAGTATGAATCTTAATCTACGTCGACCACGGATGTTTCCTTTACTTCAAAAAGCTTTTAACTGTTAAAATGACAACTGTTTGGTTTAATATTAGCTAATTCTTTGTTTTTTTTTTCCTTAAAGCCTTTCCCATAGAAATTTGTAGATTTTCTTAGTGCCTTCCATAAGGACGTAAACGTGAGCAGATAACGTCTTCATCATAGAAAATTTGAGAGCCACTTTACATTTCAATTTGCTAATGAAGAGTCATGAAATTAATGCAGTAAAAGATCCCGATCGTTTGACATTATGCATCTTGGCATAATGTGTTGCATTGTTGTGCTAAATCATCACCAGGTATTGATGCAACTTCATGACATCCATGACATCATTCATTCTCCAGCGTTTGGCCTTTTGCAATTCTTTACCCTTCCAGAGTCACGAAAAGAATAGGATCAGGGGGAAAAAAATAGCTTAGGATGCTCTTTACTGTCTGATTTCTAAGAGCCTTTGTGTAACGCTGCTTTATGTAGTTAAAACTCTCCTGTACGATTCAGGGTGGTGTGTGATTCCTACCTATTATGAAGAGCAGACACGGAAAATGCTAATAAAACCTCTGGGTTTTACAAGAATATTGAGGTCCCAAGGAGAAGGTATTTCAAAGATGAACACATGCGTGATTATCTTTTGTGATTTTAGGGTTGTTTTAGTCTGTGCATTAACAATTCTTTATAAAACCAGAAGCTGTCTGGTTAACTAATGCCTTTTCCACTCCCAAGATTGTTACGTGAGTCAAAAGAGGTGATGTTTTGTGAAAGTTCTTTGTGAAATAAAAGGTAAACGTAAGATTGATTATTCGATGATCGGTTTCATGAAAATCCCTACCGAGGGCCCTCTAAATATGCTGGGCATTTTGGGAAGTAGGCACTAATGATTCTAAGATAAGACACCTTTTGATCTCAAGTTGCCTATAGTCTGGTTGGGGAGCCGGACAAGGAAACTGGTTAAGTATATTGTAGCGTAAGAAGTGAGAAGTGCACAAAATCCAACCAAGGGAGTCAAGGAAGGCTTCTCAGGACCAGGATTACTCCCCATTCTTTCCTGTTGCTGCAGAAAAATCTGCCTTTTGTGAGTGACTTGCTTTTTATGAGACCTTAAAATTTTTTTTATTGTGAGTTCTTTCCCCCTTTTATTCATTCAGTGTCATGACACCTCCCACACAGTATGCCCCAGGTATGATTTCTGCATTCTCAAAAATCCAACAGAGTCTTGGGAGAACCTGAGAGTGAGTCATACACCAGGCAGCAAACACAAACATTGCAGCTGCAGTTAAAATATCTCAGATTACTGAATGGTGACAACATTGGAGTGGTGCTGTTTTTGTTTTTGTTTTCTAAACTGGCACAAGAAGTACTGTATGATTTTATTTACTTTGATCATGTTTGGTTAATGTTTAGTTGTGAGTCCCTTAGAATCTTGATTGTAAGTGGTTATTGGTACTGTCTCCCTTCTCCCAGTAATAAATTAAGTGAGAAAGTCCTTTGCCTTTTTGGGTGAAGTTGATAATTTAAACCAGAACTATACTAAGCTATTTTGTAGAATCTACTCACGTAGATTGAGATTGCTTAGAATCTGTGATACTGAGTTTCTGCATCCCAATACAGTTCCTCATCTTAGTACTGTGGTAGTTTTATAATTAATTAAGCATGTTGTCCCATATGTTGCGAAAATTTTGAGTTTTTGGATGTGTAGAATCTTTGGTGCAGTATTAATTGAATATTTACAATTTGGTAACACTCATGTTTACATGTTACCATGTAAACACTCAACACTAAAAATGAGGGCTTTAATGCTGTGGTTGACAGAAAAGTGAAAGTGATGTGTTCACTTATTTTTTTTGTAATTGTGAGTTTGTTACATGTACAAGGACAATGGACAAGTCATTTAAAAGTTGCCCAGGGGTGCCTAGCTGGCTCAGTTGGTAGAGCATGGGATTCTTGATCTCGGGATTGTGAGTTCCAGCCCCATGTTGGGTGTAGAGATTGCTTTACAAAAATAAAATATTTTTAAAAACTTGCCCAGTATTGGGGCACCTGGCTGGATCATTTGGAAGAGCATGCAACTCTTGATTTGGGGGTTGTGAGTTCAAGCCCCACATTGGGCATATAGCTTACTGTAAGCCCCCCCCCCCCCAAAAAAAAGTGTTGGAAAAAGAAACTAAATTGTTTTTAGTGACCTTCTAAATGTCTTATAAAATTATGACTTAGTGGTATTCCTGTAGTTTAATTTTACACTTCCTTACTCATGCATGTATTAGAAGGCAAATTTGCTTTGAATTTTGATTTGTTCTGTATGGAATTTCTATTTAAAAAAATTTTTTTTACATTTATTTATTTTTTTGAGAGACGGAGAGAGACAGCATGAGCAGGGGAGGGGCAGAGAGAGAGGGAGACGCAGAATCCGAAGCGGGCTCCAGGCTCTGCACTGTCAACACAGAGCCCGATGCGGGGCTCAAACCCACGACCCGTGAGATCATGACCTGAGCCAAAGTCAGACGCTCAACCGACTGAGCCACCCAGCCGCCCCTGGAATTTCTATTTTTTAATTTGTAAAGTTTTCTCCCAAGTTTTTATTTATTTATTTATTTTATTAAAATTAAAAACAAATTATTTAGAGAGAGACAGAGACAGCACAAATTGAGGAGGGGCAGAAAGAGAGGGAGAAAAGAGAGAATCCCATGCAGGCTCTACATGGTCAGCACAGAGCCCACAAAACTGTGAGATCATGACCTGGGCTGAAACCAAGAGTTGGATGCTTAACCAACTGAGCCACCCAAGTGCCCCTTCTCCCAAGTTTTTAATTTAATTTTTTCCAGTGTCACTATGTTTTACTTCCAAAGTGGAAGTAATCTTGTGGTGCTTTGATGCTTGTTTACTTATGATAAATATATAGATATTATATAAAGTATTGGTTGCTCATAAGTTTTTACATAAAATTTTACTTTTCTGGACAGTAACTTATTTTATTTTCCAGTAATAAATAAATTTGAGGTAGTTCAGTTAATTTCAATAAAGGCAAACAAGATTTACATTTCAGCTATTAACATTCCTTTAGAATATTCAATATTGTGGATACTTTTTTAAAAAGTTTATTTATTTTTATAGTTTATTTATTTTGAGAGAGAGAGAGCGAGAGCACTGAAGGGGTAGAGAGAGGGAGAGAAAGAACCATAAGCAGGCTCCACACCATCAATGTGAAGCCTGATGCGGGGCTCAAAGCCACGAACCATGAGATCATGACCCAGGCTGAAATTGAGAGTTGGACACTCTCGATTAGAGTTGGTTGGATTAGCCAACCAGGTGCTCTATTTATTTTTGAGAGAAAGAGAATGCAGGAGAGGGGCAGAGAGGGAGAGAGAGAGAATCTCAGGCAGGCTCCACACCATCAGCCCAGAACCTGATTCGGGGCTCAATTCCACAAACTGGTCTGATCACCTGAGTCGAGATCAAGAGTTGGACACATAACTGACTAAGTCACTCAGACGCCCCAAGGATACTTAAAAAAATTTTTTTTTAATTTTTGAGTAAGCTCTATGCCCATTGTGGGGCTTGAACTCATGACCCTGAGATCAAGTGTCACATGCTTTACCAACTGAGCCAGCCAGG